ACATTGGACTCTGTTTAGTGTTAGACTGGAATTCTTCCTGGATTTCTTCTGTTCCTGCTTGATCTGGGCCTCTGAGCAAAAGGAATTGCAAGAATATTTGTATTACAGACAACCTTGGAAACTAAAGATAGTCTCTCCTTTTAGGTAGAGGCCCCCAAGAATAATTTGGAAATGTAAGCTTTCTTCTCTTCCTGGAAACACTTGCTTGTTTTCTGGGGCAATAATTCTAGCTATTGGGGAGTAAAGAAACAATATAAGTTGTGAGTTAACATCTCAAATCCTTAATGGTTTAGAATTTAACATTTAAATTTTTATTATTAGTCCTTGATATTATCTCTATTGTGTTTTCCTATCATGCAATAAAAATAGATAAGGATCCTCCTTCAGAAATATTCTGGAGAATTGTTATGTAAAAATATTTTATACATTTTTACACTTGAGATGTTATTCCAAGACCATGAACTCCCCAAATTTTTATTATAAATAAACTTTTGTTGATTATACAAAGGTAGAATGCTCAGTGAGATTTTTAATTTGGGATACAGCAGTTCAGTAATCTTCTCCCTAAGCAGATACTTACATCTTAGAATTAATTTAGACGTGCTTGAGACATTATATCTTCTAAAACAAAAAAAAAAAACTGTATTGTGACTTCAGTAATAAATAAATACAAATTAAATATTCTTCTCCTCAACCCCAAAAGTGGCCAATTTTATAATGCAATTCTACCATTTTTATTTTTATTTTTCAGTTCTCTGTGCGTTTATCAATATCTAGCTAGACATCACATCTATCAATCTAATATATCTATACCTACATATCTGTTTCTAATAGAAGTTTAACTATTTCTTTTCCAAAATTATCATTACTTTTATTTTCGATAATATATTTTGAAATGTCAAGTAAAATTAGAAAGTGATATATTAATTTTTGAAAAAATGAATTACAAAATAATTTTAATATACACTTATAACTCTTTCTCACATTACCAATTTTTTTTCTCCCTCTATTACTACTTGACTTATTCAAAACTTTATAACATTTCTCCTAATGCACGGCAACAGTTTCTATCTGGTATCCCTGCTTCCAGTCTTAATTCATTAAATTCATTACTCATTTAGCTATCAGAATTGTCTCAGGTTTTCAATTTTTAAATTTTCAATTATTAAAATAAATTTTATTGTGTACATTTGAGTTTTACAACATGATGTTATGGAATCCATATTGATTGTAAAATGGTTACTATATTGAAGCAGATTAACTTCTATCATCTCATAGTTTCTTTATTGGTGATGAGAGTGTCTAAAATCTACTTATCCAAAAAAACAAACTACCATATAACTTTATTAGCATTAGTACTCATCTTATACATGAGTTATCTATGCTTGCACTTTCTGCATATTTGCTATTTTGTATCCTTTGGCCATGTACTCCCATTTTTCTCATTCTTAGCCTTCCCCACAGTGATGAGCACCATTTCATTTTCAGATAAATATTAATAAGAAGAATTTGCATACTTTATTTAAAACTATATTTTTTTAAACAAATATCCCATTTATCTTTATAACAAAATGAGTACCATTTAGGAAAAAAAATTATTAAAATTATAAAATGTGATGCTTTACATTATACTGACTTCAAATTAAATCATTTAAATTAGTATCTGTTTCATGTCAAGTAGAAAAATGCTGTATGAAAACCAGAGAAAAAACACAGGAAAGCCAGTATGCTATTACCAGGGATTCTAAGCATATCATGCTAAGTGAAGAAAATTTTAAATAACATGAGATTTCTAAATGATATAATAGCAATATTTTATAGTATAGTATAATTTATATATTTTTCTGCATTAAAATGACCATTTATTTAGCAATTTAATATTCTATGTAAGAAAATAGTATATTTTTTCTGAAAAAATAAGCCATTTATTTCTTCAGTTTAGTGTTATAAATGACTTTTTTCTCAATAATTAAAATAAATGAATGTATTTTTAATACAAATAATGTGCCTGCATCAGCCTCTAGTTTAATTGCTAACTTTATAATGCACAATCATTTTGTGACTGAAAATTTTCTGCTTCATACATGTTTATGAATGAAGTAATCATATTCACATATATGCAGATTTGAATCAGAGTAATTGTAACAATTTTTTAAAATGAAATCGATTAACTCCTCTTTTCATATTGCCAGTCTTTCTTACATCTGTGCAAAAAAAAAAAAAAAAAAGAATTGGTGTCATAAATCTAGAGGCAGCCAAAAATACAAGCCCACATATAACATCCTACTTATGCAAATAGTGCATCTGCTGCTATATGAGCAGGCCAAAGAATATTTCCAACTAGACTCATACACCCACAATACTGTGAGAATTAAATCAATCAAAACCACATTCTACTAGAAATATATATTTAAAAACTTAAAATATTCATGCAATATAATTATGTACAACCTGCTTATGAAGTTGTTTTAATTACTTAGCACACATGAATGCCAACTTCTATTTGACCTTTCAATAGCCGATTGTCTGAAAAAAAAACCTTTCCCCAAAAAAGCCTATCAGCAGAATATTCTTTTTTGAAAATGTTTTAACATATTAAATATCTTACTACATTAAAACCTTTCCATATTTAACTCCCCAAATTGTAAATTAAATCCAGTAATAAAATATGAGCTGTTTCTTATATTTAAATATTTTATACTATAAATTTATCTTTTTTGTACATAAGAAAATACTGGTTATAAATGTACCTTGTTTTATTTTAATTTTTATGAACAACGTTATAAGCAATATTTAAGGTATAAATATAAATAGGGCTTCATTGTTTTAAAAATTTATTTTACATGTTATCACAACCACAATAGGAAGAAAAAAATTAACGTTTTAATTTTTTTTTTTCATGTGGTAAAAGAGAAACACTCATTCAGTAAATGATATAGTCTAAATTCAAAGTTTTCTGAATTCAGCAGCAAGGGTTTAAACTATGCTGTATGAAGCCTCTACATACATTTCTTCTATAATCAGTGTTTGCAAATTTGCTTATGTGCTTCCTTAATAACAACAAACTGATTACTGTTTTCCAAAATAAGTAATACATTATTCATAGGGTAATCAAATTCTAGTGCTTACTTGGCCATGAACACAGTTCAGTAGCAAACAATAATAATAATCACAAAATTATATAATTTATAAAATTCCATTGATGCCGACTTTCTTTCTTTCTTTCTTTTTTTTTTTTTTTTTTTTTTGTTGTTGTTGAGACAGAGTCTCTCTCTGTCGCCCAGGCTGGAGTGTAGTGGCGCGAGCTCGGCTCATTGCAAGCTGTGCCTCCCTGATTCATGCCATTCTCCTGCCTCGGCCTCCCATGTAGCGAGTAGCTGGTGCTACATACGTGCAGCACCACACCCGTCAATTTTTTTTGTGTTTTTTGTAGAGACGGGGTTTCGCCATATTGGCCAGGCTGATCTAGAACTCCTGACCTCAGGTAATCCATCCATCTCAGCCTCTCAAATATCTGAGATTACAAGTGTGAGCCACCGCACCTGGCCCTGACTTTCTTTTAGAAACTTATTTATATTTCTCTATACATAGCTATAAGATTATTTACTATGACTGTTCTTAACCTAAGAGCATAACATTTTGATATCAATAACTGTGACAAGAGGTTCAGCAGAAAATACTGTAAGGGTAAGGCAGTGGAAGTAGGTATACTTTGAAAAATGTACAAGGAGCAGACAGAAGGGTAGTTTGCCCCTCCACTCGGAACTAGGATATATTTCCATGCATTGTTTCCAACAGTTAAAATTACTTCTCTAAAATAAACTGCAAATAAACAGCAAATAGGTGCCAAAATGCTGAATATTTTTCTGAGGTTTATAATTTTTATATTTAAATGTTATGTACCTATTTTTTATGTAGCTAATGCTTTTCAGGGTTCAAAATTCAAAAGTTACACCATGGTATATTGTGGAAAACCCTCTTCCCAGTTCCTTCACACAGCTATCTTATTGTACTCAAAGGCAAACAATTTTATTAAGTTTTTTAAAAGAAATAGAATTCTGGAGATATACATATCCAAGTGATTGCATTTATCTCTATTCCTTCTTTTTATTATACAAATGGCATAATATAGTTCAACATTGGGAATATTTTTCATTTTTATAAATTGGTATCTTATAAATCAATTGGAATGAATATATAAATACATTCATCATCACTATTGCTTATTTATACAGATCCATAGGAGCTGTATGTGTGATATATGATGTCCAATAGCTTCATTTTCAGTTCATGCAAAAGCTAGTTGCAAAAGCCAGAAACTACAGATGATGTATTCATCTAAGTCAAAATCATCTCTTAACTAAGCTATTCAAATAGGCTCTTATTTTTTCTCCATCTTTGCTCCTAAGAAAATGTGCATTCCTAGTCAGTCATTTAGAATTCTAAAACAATCATGTCATTTCTGTGCTTCAAGTCATAGCATGGTTTCTCATTTTTTCTGCATACAGCTTCCATCTTATCACCTATTGTTTTTGTCCTCTCTTTCCAACCTGCAGCCACAAAGGCTGTATTTATACTTAGTTCCCATGTATTAAGCCCCTACTAGTGTGTCGTGTTCTGTTTTAGATGCTTGGGTCACCGAAGAACATACACACAGAAACGGCTCTACTTTTAATGATGCATATATTCATATGGAGAAAGACAAAAATAATCTAATATAAATATAATTTGTCAGATGATAAGTGCTAAGAATGAGAATAAAGAGGGTAAGAGATGTATTGTTCACAGGTTGTCAAAGGAAATTCATGTAGACTCTGAGGCAGAGCATTCCAGGCTGAAAACAAAGCAGAACAAAGGTTCTGAGACAGAAACATGTTTTGTTTAATAGAGAACTAAAGCCCATGAAATTTAGAAAGAGACTGTGGGTTGGTGTGGCGACAAAGATGAAAGTAGGGAGCGTATTAGGATGCTACTGATGGAAAAAAAAAAAAAAAAAACTGGTGGAAACAGTGGTATCATGGATGCACACAAGCAGTGAAATGAATGAAATATGGTTGTGTTTGTTGATGGTTGCATTTGCTAACATGGGAGGTGTAAAAAAATGGTAGCGTAAAGATGACCTGAAGATTCTGAACTTGAGCGCATTTAACTTCCAGCAATTAAAGCAACATAGAAAGAGTATACTTTTAGGTTTTAGTTTTATTTTTCAAGGCGGAGTAGTGCAGAAGCAGAGTTCAGTATTAGACGGCTATCATTAATTATTTAAATAGAGTCAAAAAAGTTAAATACATGAGTAGAAATTTGATGGAGAGATCTGAGCTGTAATTATGATTTTGGAAATCCTCAGAATAGAGATGGTATTTAATGACACGGGACTGGATGTTTCTGTTTTGTGCTTCATACTGGTGTTGGCCTTTTTCCAGGGTCTATTTCTTCCTCTTAAAGTGTACCTTCCCTGGAGCTCCAACCTAATGCCTGAAGTCCTCAGTGAGGTCCCTCCACTCTTCCTGTCTAAGCTGAAACTTCAACATCTTCAGGAGTGTGTGACACCTGGTATGTCTGTTCAGTTCTGAGCTCTGTAGCGACTCCACTGTTGTGCTTTGGAAAACTTGTCATGTGCACATGAATAATTTAATCTTAGAGTATTAAATTATTGACTTTAATACTGCATGTTTAACTAAGATAATTAACATCAGAATATCATCTAAGATTTGTCTTGTTAAAAATCAAGTTTTACCAGAAACTTAATACGAATTATAAAATTAATGATTTTATTGGGACAGTTTTATACTTATATATGATCTGATACTTATTTGTAATTTGCAAATATTCTAAGATGTTGGTCATTAGAGAACATACGTGAATAAGTGCATGTAGTAGTTAGCAGAGTGGAAATGAATACAAAATATTAATGGATTGTTGCAGAATATTCTGACCTTACTGAATGAACACACAATACATATGTGCACACATTCATAGAATCAGAAACTAATGAAAAGACTGAATGTATAATAAAGACCTTGAGAGACCCATGTTCTTAAATTCTATTGGTACTAAAACTTTCAATTAACATTGTAGAAACGTATATATCAGAGAATTATGAATAAATGCAGTCCTTGACATATACACAATCTGAGTTGATCGAAGGACACTGGCAGAAACATTAAAAAGCTAATTGTGTGAGATATTTCACTGCAATTTTATAAGGTTTTTCATTATAGTAGCTTTGTTTTCCTACTCATTACAAGATCCAGGGCCTTCTGTTTTTAAAATAATACCTTGCACATAATGGGAAATCTTTACATAAAGCTTAAATAAATTAAGGAAGAATTAATTAGCAAGTCCATTCCTGCTATATGTCATTTAAGCATTTTTTTATTCATCAAAACATACTACTTCAAGCTAATACTACATTAAATGGTTTATGTTAATGAAATCATGGGATATTACTTAATTCCTGAAATTTAGCTCTGCAAAAAATAATTGATTTATACACTATACAAGGTAATATTCTGGTTCATTCTCTGGAACAAATTGCAACTTAATTGAAAATAGTATGAATGCTAATAAGTATAATTCAATGAAAAGCCTTAAATTCCATAAGAATTAAGAACATTTGGTAATTAATAAACCACACCTTTGGTATTTAAAAGTGAAAAGATGTATTCCTTTAAGAAAAATAATAAAGTTGTCAAGATGAGGAAGAATTAAACATAAGTAATATTTGGCCCTAATAGATTAGTGATGATAACAGAAAGTAACGTCAGAGAAGAAAACAGAAGAGTATGGGGTGTTTGCAGGGAGTATTATTCAACCAGCCTGGCGTTCTAATGACAGTGACTATGACTTAGCAACTTTACTTTGCCCTAATGTGAGTGGCTTATTAGAAGAGGCTTGAGTCAGAGGTGGGATACTAGTGAGCAAGCTACTGTAATGAGGCAAGAAACAGAGGATTTTAGCATTAGAGATCTCGTTAATACAAACTAATGGAAAATTTTCAGTCACATAAAATGTTAATCTCTCCAACTTTTAAATTTGTAATTGGCAGAGAAGGAGAAGCTATTGAAGATCTTGATGCTTTGAAACTGTATGAGAGGTGTTGTTAGCAAGAGAACTAGCTAGGAGAAAAAAGAAAATATATTTTGATGGTAGCTGTTGGATTTAGTTCTGGTTTAAAGTATTTAGACATGAATCTGATCCTGGATTTCAAATGGACCTTTACTGAAAATGTCAAGTGATATACAGATGCATAAGATTGAACACTACAGCATCTTCCTTCAATAATTTGATTTACTCACCCTTATTTAAAGAATTGAATCTTTGTGTTCTCAAGCCTCCTTTTCACCAATTAATTTCACTCAGGACAAAAGGTGGTGTTTGATATTTTCAACTTTAAAATAAGTCAATTTTCCTGCATGTTTAAATATTCTGTTATCTTGGATTCTAATGAAGGACCTATAACTACATATTTAATATTTGATAAATTTATACAGATGTAACACATTATTGAAACAAGATTGTATAAACCAAACAAGAAAATAGACTGTAAATATTGTCTCAAAAAGAACAATTCTTGCTATGCTTTATTTTATATTTATATTTTATTCACGTAAGCTGTTTTCTATACTGGAAATATCATCCTCCTACTCTCCACCTTCTTTTCACCCTTCACTCTTGTCTTTCAATGCTCATCTAAAATTAAACTCCTCAAACAGGCTTTCAAAGCTCAGTGTAGAATCGTCTGTTATTTCTTCTTCCTCAGTATTAACTTTTATATATTATGTCTTGTTATATGGATAAATATTTATTTCCTAAATCATCAGTACACTGTAAACTCCATGAAGTTAGAAATGTAAATCAACACCTAATTTGGCACTTATTCATAATGATAATTTAACATATTTTTGCATCAATAAATGAATATAAGTTAGCAAATCAGTAAAATACACATTTCACACACTGGCAAATGATTTATTGATCACATACTGATTCTAACATTGGAGCATCTTATTTCAAAGAATATGAAGCATTTGGGGTAAATGTTCACAAATTTGTTAGTATATTTTAATTCTTATTTTATAGGTCAGTTTTATTTTTCATAAATATACAAAACTCTCAAAATCTGAATACTCCATTTGCAAGCTGCTCTTATCTAATAACCTTCCCTTCATTTCCTTTTTACATCTTCTACCTTAACCATTAATTTTGCTATTTTTAACTGGCACAGCCACATTTTGCATCATTCTAGTCTGTGCCTATCATATGGGAAAGCAGAAGTGTTATCTGTGACTATTTGGATTTTATAATCAATTTGAACTATTTGAAGTGTGATTTGTTCATGGAGTCATTGGAAAGGCATAATACTATTAAAAGCCAGATGGTGGCACATTTCACATGCTTAACAGGCACAAAACCATTTCCTAGTGGAAACATTTTAAAAATGGTTTTGGTTCCCCTGTACGATTATCAATCAAGTAATCTCACTTACTTTTTTTTTTTTTCTTACTTTACATGGGGCAAGTATATTGATATCTGATTCTCTATTTGAAAAAAATGGGAAAACACTGATCTTTCTGGCTAGTAGACTTTACTTATTAAATATACCTTCAATATATTAATGGGAAACTGAAAGATACCTCAATTGTATTGCTTGAAAACCAGCAATGCCAAGTTATATTTCTCAATAAATAAAATTATCTCTTATTTTATTTTGGCCATTTATTATTCTACTTCATTACAATACACTTTTTAAAAATGTATTGTTGTTTAGTATCTCAGTAGAACCATATTTGTAATCTTCATTTTTAACTGTGCATTTGTTTAAATATACCATAGTTGCTACACATGAACAAAAAAAATCCAATGTTCTAAATCGCTATCAAATGAAATTTTAATATTAGCTTACTTCAAAGAGTGCACTAATTTGGCTAAATCATAGAAATGTCTCTTTTTAACAAACTATACCACATTGGGGAAAACATGATTTTTAAAACATTATTATGAGTGTTGTAGATATGGCCTGAGAGAAAGGCTATTTCTTCAAGAAAAAAATTAAAAAATACTACTCAGCATTAAAAAAGGAGTAAACTATCGTTTCACAATACAATTGTGATAAATCTCAAATTAATTATACTAGATGAAAGAAGCCAGGCAATCAAGAGTACATACTGCATGAAATCATTTATATAAAACTCTAGGAAATGCAAACTACTCTCTATAATGGAAGAAAACACATCAGTGGTTACACGGGAAGGAGAGCTTTGGGAGGGAGAGAGGAATTTAAATAGGTCTTGTTGAAGAACTAGACATGTTCACTATTTTAATTGTGCTGATGGAATCATGAGTATATCCACATGCCAAAATTTATCAAATTCTACACTTGAAATATGTACAGATTTATTATATTTCAACAATAACAATAGAGCTATTGAAATAATAGATTGAAAAGTACCACTATTAATCAATAAACAAATGTTTGCTGAAGAGTAAGTTTACATCTCTGTGAACACTGATTGAAGAATCAAAGAGGAAAAAAATGAGGAGAAAGGTAAGATAAAAATGGAAACTTTTACCAACTTTTGTGTGTCAAACAGTTTTGAAGCACTTTAGAAGCATTATGTTATTTAATGCTTATATCAAAATATTAACAAAATAGAAGCTTAACTGACAATAAGCAGAATAGTTGAAGTTCATGGTCAAGCATCCTTGAAAAAGCTTGATTCATTCATACCTATTTATATTTTCAATTTTAAATATTTGAGAAAAGAATAACAGTTCAAAAGGGAGGCAGAACAAATGACTGAATAAGAGTTTGTCCCCACACGAACATCAAACTGAATAACTATCCATACAAAAAAAGTACCTTCATAAGAATCAAAAATTAAGTGTCTGAACACAGCATCTAGTTCCAACTTCAAATCACTGAAAGAGGCAGTGACAAGAATAGAAAAGACAGTCCTGAATTGCCGACTCCACCCATTCCCTATCCCATAGCAATAGCCACTTGGTGCTCAGAGATAATCTATGCACTTAGGGAGAGAGACAGCACAGTGAATGCAGAACTTTGCGTTGGAAATCAGCGCTCCCTATCACAGCAGAAAGCTGCACTGAACGGAACTTACTCAACACCTACAGAGGAAGCATTTTTAGACCAGCTGTAGCTAGAGGAGAATCACCCATCCTAGCAGTCGGAACCTGAGGGCCGTCAATCCGCACCACCACGAGCCAAAGTATTATAAGTTTCTAAATAAACTTGAAAGGCAATCTAGGCGACAAGGACTGCAATTCCTGGTCAAATTCTGGTGCCGTGCTGAGCTCAAAGCCAGTGTATTTGAGGGGGTGTGTGACCTAATGAGACATCAGCCATGGTGGTCAAGGGAGTCCTTGTGTCACCACTCCCCTAAAGCCAGGCGGTGCAGCTCAAAGCTTTGGGAGCGACTCCTTCCTTCTGCCTGAAGAGAGGAGACGAAAGAGTAAAGAAGACTTTGTCTTGAAATTTAGACACCAGGTCAGCCACAGTAGGATAGAGCAACAGGAAAAGTCCTGAGACCCCT